CCCAACATGCAAAGTACTTCATCCAGAAATCAACTCCAGCTGTCATAAAAACTATTGTAGCTCTTTGTACTCTAATGCCATTCATTAACTGAAAACCTTTACAACCTGAAAGCTTTACAAGAGTTTAACAATTAAGGTAACTCTATAGAGTCACTTGATTTAAAACATGTCCTGAAAAGTAAGCAATTAGTCAGCACTTCTAGGAGGCACTTAAAATTCCCTTTGTGGCAAACAATACATCTAGAAGTGAGAAAAGCCAGTTCATGTTGATAGTGCTTCTTATGAAGAAAGCTGATCAAGTTGTCTAAAGGGTAATTTTTGGGGAACTGTAACAATGAATAATGATGTCTTTTCCCTGAGTACAAAAGGGCTGTACAACTTAAAGAAAAACAAAAAACAAAACAAAAAACCTCCAGAAAACAGCAGTACAAATATATAATACTGCATTTTCAAGCGATACTTGCTCAAGAATCTGAATAGATATGCTTTTTTTTTTTCCCCATCTTGAATGCTGAAGCAGAAAACCTCTTTTCCACTCCCTCAACTTTCATGTGAGCAGTTCCTAAATCTGGTGCTCTCCTGCACTTGGTGATCTAACACCTGCTCTTCTCCTGGCAAAAAGTCAATATTAAGTGTCAGAGTATGTGTTATTTCCAGCTGCTGATCTTATTAAGAGGGTCTCATGTTTAACACAGGTCAGGAATAAACAGTTTCAGAAAGGATTACTAGGTCTGAGAAGCATTCCTGAAACTGCCCTGAACCCTGCCACTGGCTGACTTCAAAAGAAGGCTGAACAAGTAACTCCATTTCCTTTCCCTCTTCATCTGAGGCCCTGTCTCTTTCCTCTCTCCTGCTACACATGAAATTTTTCATTGAGTATCAAGACAACTGAAGTAAGTTGTAGTGTATAAGCATGAGACATGAGAATGTGAAACCTCAAAATGTACGTAGGAGATGGTCAGTAAGACATTTTAGATTCTGATGGCTTCCTAGACAAAAATACCAGAGCAAAAATTAGACTTGGCTGCTGTGTCTCAGTTACCAACTGAGAAATATTTTCCATTAGTAAATGTATTGCATTTCTCATTATTGATAACAGACACAAGAACCAAGTCTAACTTCTGCTCCAGAATTTCAGTTATCCATATAACCTCACACACAATCAAGTGATGGTTTCAGCAGTGGTAGCAAAGGCTACCCAAACCAGTTATTCTTTAGTCGCCACTACTGTTGCTGTAACATAAAGAGTCCAATCATATTTCTCTGAACTATCACAACAGCACTGGGTAGAGACCTTCAGGGAACAACTGCTGAGTATCCTAAAACAGGTAAGTTGCTAAAAAGACCACAGTGCTGGTGAAACATTTAATTTTTTTCTACATGGGACACTGCCAAGAAAATGCATTGTTCATAACTAAATATTTGCGCCAGCTTATACTGTTTGCAACCTTTCATTTCAAAGTAGGCATTATGTTTTCAGTAAAATAGATACGTATAATAAAAATCCGTGTACGCACAAGCACAGATGAGCAGTGTGATACTTAAATCAGCTTGATCATGAAATACTTTATTTAACCTACTTTAGATCAACTACATTTGACAAACTTTTAACAAAAAACTGAATTTATGGGTAATGATGACCTTAGTGTAAGTTTTGCTGCTAAACCATTTATTTTCATTAATTGCAAGAGTTTATAAAACTGTATCTGGAATAATCATCAACTGAGCATAACAGGAGATAGATTAGACTACAAGAAAACAAAAGGGGTTTTGCTTTTCCAGGTTTCAGATTTTATTAACTGTTCTTAGATCCTTTTATGGCTTATTCCTACCACTGTCTGTCAGGCAACAGTTCAGGGATTTTTAGTATATACGTACGTATTTACTTTATTTACACCCCTACACTGATGCCACCCTTCTACCTATGTTTCAAACTTTGGAGGCTGTTCTGAAATGTAACAAGATTTATTACAAGCTGAGAGGTTTTCTGATATAATAAGAATTGCAATTTTTCCAACTGCAAGATGGTAAGGATCTCAGTAAAGCCCTTAACACTGTTTCCCATAGCATTCTGCTGGAGAAACTGGCTGCTCATGGCCTGGACATGCATACTCTTTGCTGGGTTAAAAACTGACTGGATGGCTGTGTCCAAAGAGTGGTGGTGATATGAGTCAAATCCAGTTGGCGACCAGTCACAAGTGGTGTTCTCCAGGTCTCAGTGTTAGGACTAGTCCTGTTTAACATCTTTATCAATGATCTGGATGAGGGAGTTGAGTGCTCCCTCAGTAACTCTGCAGATGACACTAAGCTGGGCGGAAGTGTTGATCTGATTGAGGGTAGGATGGCTCTACAGAGGGTCCTGGACAGGCTGGATGGATGGGCTGTGGCCAACTTGTATGAGCTTCAACAAGGCCAAGTGGTGGGTCCTGCACTTGGGTCACAACAACCCCATGCAACCCTACAGGCCTGGGGAGGAGTGGCTGGAAAGTTGTTTGGCAGAGAGGGACCCGGGGGTGTTGATCAACAGCTGACTGAACATGAGCCAGCAGAGTGCCCAGGTGGCCAAGAAGACCAAGAGCACCCTGGCTTGTGTCAGGAACAGAGTGGCCAGCAGGACCAGGGAAGTGATCCTGACCCTGTACTCAGCACTGGTGAGGCTGCATCTCGAATCTCGTGTTCAGTTTTGGGCCCCTCACTACAAGAAGGACATTGAGGCACTGGAGCGTGTCCAGAGGAGGGCAACAAAGCTCGAGAGGGGTTCAGAGCACAAGGTGTATGAGGAGTGGCTGAGGGAACTGGGGTTGTTTAGCCTGGAAAAGAGGAGGCTGAGAGGAGACCTTATCACCCTCTACAACTGCCTGAAAGGAGGTTGTAGCCAGATGGGGGTCGGCCTCTTGTCTGAGGTAACAAGCAATAGCACAAGAGGACATGGCCTCAAGTTATGCCAGGGGAGGTTTAGATTGGATATCAGAAAAAATTTCTTCACAGAAAATGTTATCATTGTAACAGGCTGCCCAGGGAAATGGTGGAGTCACCATCCCCGGAGGTATTTAAAGGATGGGCAGATGAGGTGCTTAGAGACATGGTTTAGTAGTGGACAGATTATGGTTGGACTCAATCTTAAAGGTCTTTTCCAATCAAATGATTCTATGATTCTAAGGCAGAAAGTGGATATATTACCTTATTACGTTTCTAAATTTTGCCCTTCATGTAACAAGTTACTAAGTGACCTCTATAAAGATTTAAAAAACAATAATTCTTTTGTCTGTTTTGGTTGGGGGGTCTTGTTTGTTCTGCGGAAGGAGGAGTTGATGTTTGTGTTTTTTGTTTGAGTTTTATTTAGTTTCTAAATCCAGGCATACTGAAGTGTTTGCTCCTACTGCTTTAACAGATCATCAGCATGGAAAAAGTTAAGAGTTCACTTTACCTTGGATCTATTTCATTTTTCTTCTTGTAGTTTTCTTTTGGTGTGAAGCACTATGAAAGAGTGCAAGAGTACGTAATCATCTAGTTTTGATCACTGAGCATATTACTGTGCATATTCAGGAAATACAAATGGTCTTCTAAAAAAGACCAACTGGCTTGACAACTGTGTGTTATGCCTAACTAACGAGAATCTCGGTTTCCCTGGTTACAAGTCAAATCAAAACCACTTTGATTGGGGTTTTCCTCCCTTTTCTCTCAGTTTTGGGATGGTGGGTGGAAGGGGCATGTGTCACATCTTTTCTTACATTCTTAAATGGGTTTAGAATCCAATAAAACAAAACTAATGGTAGCATTGGCTCCAAGTTGTAAAGAAATAGAGAGGGCATAGATCCATCCTGTTATTTACAAAGCTGGAAAAATAAGTAATGCAAAAGAAACATCTTCTGTTTATATATTGCCAAAGGCCTACTGAAACTGTGGAAGAAAATATTCAAGATACGGTACTTCTATGAAGTTCAGGAAAGAAGCCATGTTTTACAAAGATACTTTCTTCTTTTGGAGGAAAACACCCAAACACACAAGTTCAACAGATCATAATGTAAAGAAGCTGCAAGTTTCTTTCCAAAGAAACAATGCATTGATTTCTACTCCCAGAGAAGCTGACTGAAAAAAAGATGTGAAATGGTAGTACAATAGATTCATTTACCTGCTTGTTCAGGAAAAAAAGATAGTATAATAAAGACCTATACTACCAACAAGAAAACAGAACAAACAACCACCACCACCTATCAAAAGATTGCACAGCATCAAGGACAATCCATTAGTTCTTCACTTCAGGAGACCAGTCACCTTCTTACATATGACTGCCTATGGGGTAACCTCAAGCTAGCTATTTGTGTAACATCACTAAAAACACCACTGAATTTAGGATTTCTGGCAACCACAGCTTTGTCCCAAGTACAGAACAAAAAGATCATACTGTAAGTCACATCCAGGGACTGAAATGAGAGCTGACAACAGGCTAAACCAAACCTTTTTAAAACCAAAGTTCCATGAAGAGTGGGGAGAGGAACCCTTCTGCAGATTTTCTGATTAAGCGCTAAAAGCATGTCTCAAATTGTTATTATTGCAGTGTATTGATTTTATCTCATTTCTTCTACAGTTTCAATGAAATATAAATATCAACAATGAGCAAAGCTCAAGAAAATTCCACTGCTTGACACTGCAGAGGGGCACAAGCCTATCCAGAGGCAGCTGATGACCTTTCAAGCACGTTATATCGGATTTCACTTTATAACCTCTCCATTTCTGTTAATCTTCTGCACTACTGCCAAAATAAGTTTCCAGTATTTTTTTAATGTCTGGTGATGCCTAGTTGTTCATAAACCAATATGAATGCAATTTCAGAAGTGGAAATTGTTTACTAATCACAGTAATAGAACGAGAAGCAAATAATGCAAAATAGCTTAGGATAAATTCAATCAAAGTACCATCACTTCCATAAAATAATTCAACAAACAAGAAGTAGCAGAAATGTTAATATTTGTAATTATTTTGTTTTAACAAAGACTTACCCTCTTGCAGGATCTAAGGCAATTGCTCTGGGTTGATCCAATTCTTGCCAAAACAACACTTTCCTCAGCGATCCGTCTAAATTAGAAACTTCAATCCGATTTGTTTCAGAATCTGTCCAGTATAGCTTCTCTCCCAGCCAGTCACATGCCAGCCCATCAGGTGACAGAAGTCCAGAAATGACCACATTTTGTACACTCCCAGATTTATTGAACTCTGTTCGTTTAATGGCTTCTTCACTTACATCACTCCAGTATATCAACCCCTTGACAAATACGAAGTCCACTGCTGCTGCGTCCTCTAAGCCACCCACAATCACCGTGGCGTTCTCCTTCCCGTTTGCAGCATCCACCAGCCGCAGGTCACGTCGGTTTGCGTACAGCAACAGTGGGGCAGCTTTAAATGGGAGAAATAAGGGATGGGGAAACAGAGAGATGCATTAATACCACTCACATTAAGTATAACTTGCACGACAACGGTGCACCAGGCCATAACTACTAATGTAAGAATTTAAAAACTAGTAATTAAAAGAGCTGCGTGGACATTTTGAAGTTTGAATAAAAAGCACGGGCTTTAAGCCTTTCAACAGTGCTACAAATCAAGATGGTAACTTTATATTGGACAGCTCATTATTCTGGGCTGTGCATTATTAAAATAAGATTAAAGAAGAAGGGAGAGAACAAAGAAAATGGAGGTCTGAAGTGCCCAAATGACACTGTTCTGCAGAGAAGGATGCTTAAATAAGAATCTAAAAGACAAGGATAATATCAGCAGTTTTCTAAACACACAGTGCTGGCCCACCTGAGCAAAGACTCCTATTTTTTGCTAGAATTTAGTAATATATACTCCACTTCTATAAAATCACAATGCACATCAAGCTATCAAAGCCACCTGTGTGTTGATACTCTCCAAAACTGTGTGACTTGGACATTTCACATATAACACATACAAATACAAAATGCATTGCACAGCATGAGACGAATGAGTGGTGACGCTGGTATGAGGACATAGGGAGAAAAATAAATCTAAGTGAACGGATAACACTGAGTTCTTTCAAACTCAGCTCTACCACTCCTTTTAGTTGTCTAACACAAAGCCTTTGTTTCATGTTTTATTTGCTTACTCTATCAGTTTGCACAGTCTCTATATTTCTCATACACAACACCCAAGATGACTAACAAAAAGTAGTAACCATGAAAACAGTTTCTTAAATGTAATATGGCTGTTTAATTGTCCAATGCTTAATTAACCACAAGCTATACATAATATTATGAAAATTTGATCCTCATTCCTACTTCAACAACAGGTTAAGGAAAATACTACAACTGTATACAGCAAACAATCACATCCTTTTAAACTCATTATCAGAAAACACTTCTACCTTTCCCTGTGTTTACTCAGGCACTGTAGCCACAGATCTGTACAGCAGCATTTTGATAGATACTATGACTGGCATCCTAAATGCTCCTCTACCTATCACCACGCTAATGTACCAAAAACCTTGCAGATTTATTCATCGGCATAGGGGGGCACTTGAAAATTCTAGCAGGATATCTGTCCTATCCAAAAGGCTTACGTTTACAGAACCAACGATTCGCATGGGTTGAATAATGTCAGGGGCTACGCTGCCAGAAAAGATACAGTTCCTTGCACGAGAAACTCAAGACTGAAATTAGAAATACTAACACACACCTCAGAAAATTCAAAACCAGGTTTCCAAGATCAGACTACTTCCCTCATTACCAAAAAACTGTTTATCAAAGACACTGCCACATGCATATTGGGAGAAGCTGAAGGTACTAAGTTCTTTAATCTACCTCCAAATAAAGTAGTTCTGCTATGTATATTTGGAAGCTTTTTACTTTCTTTTTCCTTTTTAAAAAAGCAACACCAAACCCACCAAAAAAACAACCAGGCTAAATTGCTTAGGCTGTCATCCCAATTTCAGACACATGAAATACAAACTGATTTATGATAGTCTTCAGATAGAAAGTTACCGAAATGGGAGGAGGGAAGAAGCTTTGTTGGTTTTAATAATGCTAAATTTGTATTCCTCTTCTCTAGAAAGCAAATTTTTATTGTGCAGCAAAGCATTCAGTTTAGAGATTATATTTCCTTGGAGAAAGGGTAGACTTCTTTAAATTAGAAATCAGAATCCATATTTTAAGTAGGTTTATTACCTTACTTTGCTATCTCCTCCCCTTCTTTGCATAATTTCCCACCACCTAAAGATTTAAAATCAATTACAGTAGAGTTTCTTTAAGTGCAGGTTGCTTATTATGAGTGCGTTTCTCAGAGGAAAAAAAGTACTCAGTAAACTGAAAGTGGTAAAAAATAGACATGCAATAAAATCCTCTACTTTTTAAAACCTGCATGCAATCATAACCTGAGAAATCCAGTTAATAGCTAGCTCAATGTCATCTAGCACACGATCGGAAGGCGTGCAGCCGACTGGCAGAGCTTGCTCTCAGAAGACAGCATGCCCAGCATTGGAAAAAAGGTAAATCCACGCACAAACGAGCACAGGTTCCATTATTATGTGCAACACGGAGCAAGAGTAGCCATGCACGCAGCATGCACCGAACTGGAACACCAGGCATATCAAGTGTAATCACCACGGCCCGAAGGCACTGCTGAGCCTGACACGACCGCACTGCATCGGTTATGCGCTCTGCGCTGGAGCTCAGATCCGGCCGGGGAAGGACTGGAAAAAACCTCCTTTTCACAAATGATACAAGTTATTTGAATGATGGCTCAGAACAAAACACAGCTCCGCTCAGGATGTGTAGTTTCACGCAGGCTGATTCAAAGTCGCAACTTGTAACACATTCCTCAGGGCTGGCAGATGAGAATGTTAAGCTTTCCAATTTATTGCGACATTCAGGAATGAAGCATGCACCACCAAAATAATAAAAAACAGGTCTGTTCCCCCACCCTCTCCTACCCTTCCCAGAAAACACGAAGGCTTCAATATCCTATAAAACTCAATTACTGATGTTGGCAGCATTAGCACCTAGTATCATCTTTGCCATCTACTTGACTCAAATAAGCAATGCCAAAAGAAAAATTGTGGATGAAGATTCCATCCTGCCCCACATAACTCACTTTAAAAGTGGTACAGGGCACTGAAAAGACAGCTTTCTTGAATAATGCAGTTATGAACTATACTAATAACCTAAGGGAAGAAGTCCAAGAGAAACTCCTTTCAAAACTAGGCAACTATTTGGCAGTTTAAGTTAAAATGAGGCAAAGAGATACAACTCAGATTATTTTTCTAAGTAGTCAAAGCTGACCTTTTTAATCTATGTTTCTATTTCCCGTTCTATAGGCATCATAAAAATACATATTTTAACTGCAACAAACTATTGAGGAGAAGTAGACATTTTTAAAAGAAAAACACACCCATCTTGGAAATCAACAACTCAAACAGTAGTGAACATTACTCTGTCCTCTATCACCTAAAAGGTCTACATGTAGTTTATTCTTCTAATTAAATACTCAACAGAGAATAAAAGCTATGCTTAGTAATAAAATAAGCTATTTTATCCACTAGCAGGAACAAACATTTGCATAGAGAACATGAAAGTTACAAAAACTAAACTTTAACGCATCTGAACCACAACAAAAATAATTTAAATCATAAGAAACTCCTGCCAGAGGGTCACTGAGCCTAACTGCTTCTTAACTCCAATATTCATGTAACACCTTCCCTAAACTAACCATTCAGTACTAAAGTCTAGCCCCTGCCCTTTTTTTGCCCTACCTTTACAACTGGAATTCTACATCAGCAACCTCCTCCTCACCACTGAACTCCAGTTCTTGTACCAAATATTTCTCTTATCTACAACTCTTGTCTCTCTCCCCAGCATACTGAAACCTGCTAATCCCCAAGACACTTAAGCCTGGTTTCCCTAACACTTATTTACTTACACCTTGCATTGTACATCTGATTTGTGAGCTTCTGATTCTGGCTTGAAAATGCTGCAGCCCACAGGGGGCAAATTGATGAACCAACACAAAAATACCACTTTATCAGCTAAAAATGTTTTACAATTTCATTTCTGGGTGTTTAAATGGCAACTTTAAGCTGTCAGAATTTGTCTTGCTTTTCTTTAACTAGTCTAGACGCCTTTTCCACAAGTTCCTGCTTGCCCCTTTCCACTCTCAATGATCCATGACACCTCTGGGTGCCACGAGGTCAGTGTGACCTTCAACACATTCATTCTCTTGCACCGACGAGGAATTTAGCCTGGTTAAAGCAATTGGCATAATTTTCCCCAAACCCTTTTTTCTCATTCCCAACTCCTAGCAATGCTGTTCTACTCCCTCACTTCGTTAAGGGCTGCTCCCTAAACTGAATCAAATCAAGGCATCAGTGAAAGGTTTGACTGGGTTAGCAAGTTGAATCAACTCGAGAAGTGGTCCGGCAAACTCCAAAACTAGCATAAGGCGAGCACCAGAGGGCTGGAAGGGGAAGCAGCTCTCCCCCCTTTCACTGGCACCCTGCTAGATCTGCTCAAGATGCAATGGCAGCCTCATCCTTTCTCCCCACTCCTCTTCCAGTTGTCAGTTCCCAACCTCTCTTCTGTGTTGGCACTAGCACTTGCCCCCCACCACAGCAAGACAACACAGGGAGCTAAACCAGCAGGAGACTACTGTGCTCTCCCTGCACCTGCCAAAAAGTAGGTTTTAGCCAGCATCCAGAAGCAGAAAATCAGATAAACATAAGTACTAACACACCAGAGACAGGGAAGACTGCATCAGCTTTGACAAGTTAGTTGAACCAGTCCCTTGTGAACCTCTAATTAAGGAACAGGACCTGCCAGACTACAGGTGGCCACCACACATTGTGGTGACCTGCTCTAGAGTCCCAATGTGGCCCAGCCAGTAATACTGGGAAACTTCTCACATTGTGGAAAGAAATATCCATGCAGGAGTCCACTGGCAAGACACCCATGGATTGTTACACTGAAAGAAGATGTCCTTGAGCTGGGAAGAGAAAACTCCCCATTTTTTAAAAGTCTTGCTGAAGAACTCTGAACGTCTAAAGATGAATCGATACTGTCAAGCACACTGCCACGAGGATGGCAAACGTAAGGACTGGAGAAGAGATGCACTGATGAGATATGCCAAGCAAATACACACTGTCCTGGACGAGGCACAGCAAGCACGAAGGATTTGCCAGACGCCTTGATGAAATTACATGCACCCACATTCAGCCTACAGGAGAGGGAAAAGCAGATAAATGGGTATAGATAACCAGCAAAGAGCATTAATTGTAGCCTCCTCAAACCCATTCTAAATACCAAACTCCTCGTATGTAAGGCAATCCTCCCTGTTCCCAAGATGTCCCACAGAGAGCCAATACAATAACGTAAGAAAAACTCT